GAAATTTAAAATTCACAGAAGAGTTTAAAGATAAAGTTGAGGAAATCTCCTGCAAGGTAGGACAAAAAGGCTAGAGATAGTCAATAGGAGTGAGAAGGAAGACAAAATAAAATTAAATCCAGGAGGTCCAACACCTAACTAGCAATAGTTCCAAAGGAGAGAATAGATAAAAGAGTTGGAAAGAAAGTGTCAGAGAGATAACACAAGAAAACTTCCAAGAATTTAAAGACATGGGTCTTCAAATTGAAAGAACCAACACAACAAATGAAAAAATACTTGCGGCTATTATGGATTGCAGAAATGGATCTATTGACGTGAAAAAATGATTACAATACCATACGAGTGAAATAGATTAAAAAACATGTGTCCAATAGGAGCCCATTCTTTTTTTTTTTCCCCCAAAGCCCCAGTAGATAGTTGTACGTCATAGCTGCACATCCTTCTAGTTGCTGTATGTGGGACACGGCCTCAGCATGGCCGGAGAAGCAGTGCGTCAGTGCGTGCCCGGGATCTGAACCCAGGCTGCCAGCAGCAGAGCGCGTGCACTTAACCGCTAAGCCACAGGGCCGGCCCAGGAACCCATTCTTATAAAATCTGTATGTAATAGGTAATGATATGGAGCAATGCTTTCAAAATTTCAAAAGAAAATTATTTTTAACCTTGAATTTTATACCCAGCCAAAATATCTATAAAATGTGAAAGTGAAACAAAAACATCTTTAGACATTTAAGTCTCCAAAAATTTATCTTATTTACTCTTTCATGATAAGCTATTAAAAGTTGTGATCCATTAAAATGTAGGAGTATACAAGAAAGAAGAAGACAGGGGATCCAGGAAGAGAAAATCCAATGTAGAAAAGAATTAAAAGGAACTCCTAGGATGACAGCAAAGGTAAGTCTCTGGATAACAGCTGTGCACCAGGCCTAGAGAGCAATCAGTTAAGAGTAGAGCAGGACAGAGGGAAAAGAAGTGATCCAAAATCGATGCATCAAGAGATAGCAATATACACAAATCATTTATAAATACAGCAGTGGGGCCAGCCCAGTGGCACAGTGGTTAAGTTCATGCCCTCCGCTTTGGCAGCATGGTGTTTGCAGGTTCAGATCCCAGGCAGGACCTACACACTGCTCATCAAGCCGTGCTGTGGAGGCATCCCACATATAAAATAGTGGAAGATTGGCACAGACATTAGCTCAGGGACAATCTCTCTCAAGCAAAAAGAGGAGGATTGGCAACAGATGTTAGCTCAGGGCCAATCTTCCCCACACAAAAAAAGAAATATGGAAGTAAATAAATGAAGAAACATTTTTAAAAAGTGGAAGTAATTGCTCCAAAAAAGTGGAAACAGGAGATCGCTGCTTTTTGTTTTAAGACTTTTAGCTGTGGTTTACTTTTTAAGCTTGTATTAGTGTCCTAGGGCTGCTGTAATATATTACCACAAACTTGTCAACTTAACCAACCAGAAATTTATTCTCTCACAGTTCTGAGATCAGAAGTATGAAATCAAATTGTCGGCAGGGTTGGTTCTCTCTGGAGGCTCTGAGGAAGATTCCTTTCCATGTCTCTCTCCTGGCTTCTGGTGGCTGCCAGCAACCCTTGGTGTTCCTTGGTTTGGGGCTGCATCACTCCAATCTCTTCCTATGTCTTCATATGATCTTATTCCCTTTGTGTCTCTGTGTCAAATCTCCCTCTCCTTTCTCGTATAAGGACACTAGTCATTGTATTTAGGGCTTACTCTAAATCCAGTATGATCTCATCTTGAGATCCTTAACTTAGTTACATCAGCAAAGACTCTATATTTCCAAATAAGGTCACACTCACAGGTACCAGGGGTTAGGATTTGGACATATCTTTCTAGAAGACACAATAAATCCACTACAAAGCTATTTATATGAAATACATTGAACATCCTTTCTTATTTCTTTATGCGTACATTTAGAAAGTTTTTAGGGCTGGCCCCATGGCTTAGCGGTTAAGTGCTTGCGCTCCGCTGCTGGTGGCCTGGGTTCAGATCCCGGGCGCCCACCGGCGCACCGTTTCTCCAGCCATGCTGAGGCCGCGTCCCACATACAGCAACTAGAAGGATGTGCAGCTATGCCATACAACTATCTACTGGGGTTCTGGGGGAAAAAATAAATAAATAAATAAATAAAATTATTAAGAAATAAATAAATAAATAAAAAGTTTTAATATCTATTTTCAAAGTGATTTCCAGAAAGAGGTTTCCATTTACACTTTCACCAGCAATGAACAAAAGTGCTTATTTTCACTCACTTTTCCAAACATTGACTATTATATTCTATATACATACTCTTGGCCAAAATGACAGACAAAATGTTATTTTATTGTTGACTTAATTTGCCTTTTGGATTACTAGTGAGGTTTGGCATTTAAAAAATGTGTTGATCATTTGATATTCTTTTTTTGTAAATTACCTATTCATGTCCTTAGTTCATTTCATTTCTATTAGGACATTCATCACATCCATACAAAATAAAAGTAAAAGGATGTCTACGACAGCATGTTTTGAATAGTTAAGTAGACGAAAACAATCTAAACTTTCAGCAAAGGGGATTGACTCACTAAATTATTGTACATTGAGTTCCATTTGGCTATTATAAATGCCATTACAGGCACTTTTTCTGTCATCTATTGACATAAAAAGATGACTACAATACAGTACAGGTAAAATAAAGAGACTCAAAACAGTGTGTCCAATAGGATCCCATTCTTCTAAAATATGTAACTAGTAGGCGATAATATTACAAACGTGTATGTAGCATTTATGATGTACCAGGCGCTGTTCTAAACACTTTACAAATATTACAACAAGTCTATGAAACAGGCCCTCTTATCATCCCCATTTTACTGAAAAGGAAACTGTAGCACAAAGAATGATAAAACTCGCCCAAAGTTACACGGCAGGTAAGTGGTAAAGCTGGCCTTTAAATCCAACGCCCTGCTAGCTGCCTCTGTACAAGTTAATGCACAGAAAAGAACCTGGAATTATATATACCGAGGAAGCTGCCATATTCTTTCTGAATAGGAGGGGAATGTAGATAATTTTTATGTTCTTTTTGCTTGTATGGGTTTCTAATTTGTGTATAATGAGTTTGTAATGTTGCAATTTAAAAATATTAAAAACTGCATTTTGAAAAACAAAATCTATCTTCTTAGCCTATCAAAGGCTTTCAGCTTTCAGCTAGTGGGAAAAACAGGAGACCTGGTTACTAGTCTCAACTTTGTCACTCATAGCACATATTAAGTGCTCAATAAAACTTGTGTTCATTGAGCATCTACTTTGGTGTCAGACACTATACTTAAAACAATAAGTGTTATTACTATTATGTCAGTGTTACCTGTCCATCTTCAGACAAGTCAGCAACCCTCTCTGGGCCCCAGGAAAGGAGATTAGCATGAAGGTAACAAAGGCAGCTGTGGCTTGATTGAATAATGGTGAATGGGATGATTCTGCTCAAGGTTATTGGCCTTTTGGGGTGTTGGAGGTGGGGCAGAGGGGGGATATTTGCCTTTTAAGAGAAGGTTCAGAAAAGGCATAAAAGCTGAACTAGATAGAGGCCCTTCCATGAGATAGTAAGGATTTCCCTGAAGTTAGATTGTGGGGGAGTGGTGGGAGGGGATGAAACGGGGCTGCTGAGCATGAGGTTGCAGAGCCCCTCCCTCCACATAATGAGGAGCGTTTCCCTGCCGGTCAGTAAGGCGGAGGGTGTAAGCAGGTAAGGACAGAGAAAGGGGGAGGGCTGGGTGTGCGGGTGGTAACTGACTTGGACACATCACGAGGTAAGGCATGACCAGCCCTGCCGGAGGTAGCTTGCTTTGGCTTTAAATGCCCTGAGGAAACTGAGACAATAAAATTGGCTAACACTGCAGACACTCATTACTCAGAATTCATCAGCGCTGTTTCAAGGTTTATTTTCCTCCCTCTTTCCACTTTCCCTTCCTTGCTGGACTTCATAATCCTTCCCAGACTCCAGTCTCCCGTGGTCTTGACCCTGGACCCCTCATTCCCCACCTTCCCAGGCTTTGTTTTCTGTTTCTCTCAACAGCTGACCTACTGATGATCCAAGAGGATGCCACCTCCTGAAGTCGCAAACCACGGACAAGATCTGATGCTTGTCCCCGGTCCCTGAGAATGACCTGGCCTGTCCCTGGACTCTGTTTATCATAAATCTCAATACTCTCAGTGAGACTATCTCTGTTGTAATCCAATGGAACCAAGTTCAAGGTGTAATCTTAGACCTAGGCAAAGATGGTAACTTGAGATGGGACCCCTGTGATAATCATGGGTGCAGTTGACAGAATCTATGGGGCTAATTATTCTATGAAGCTCAATATAATTATTATAATCAGATTGAAACAGAGTTAAATGGAAGCAGTAAGACTTAACTCTGAGGGTTCTCTATCTCATCTTCTGTACTACCCCTCACGAGAAGTGCTCTTCTTCACACTCACCACAAAGGGATGACCAGTCAAGGTCCTGCGTCCCCTGGAATCTAGATGCTGCTCCCAGAGAGACTGTGGCAAGCATGTGGCCCCTGGACTCAGACAGCCCACGGTTCAAATCACAGCCTTGTCACTTATCCTCTATGTGCCTTAATTTCCCCACTCGTAAAGTGGAGGGAAGTAGCTATCTCCCCTCATTGTGCTAAGGATTAGAAGTTACATATATGAGTGGTGGCTGCAGCCCCTGGCTCCAATTAGGCTTCCGTAAATTATAGTCATTGTTTCTGGACTCAGGAACCAAGTGTAGGTTCTAGGCCCCAAGCTCCCCTGGCTTCATTTCATTAAGGAGTCAATGCCCCATCTCATCACCTCTTGGGAAATTTCCAAAGAAGCATCTTCTGACTTGCAAGTAAGCACAGGCTCAGCTAAGTGCGTGTGTCCCAGGTGCAGGCCTGGAAGCCGGTCCAGGCAGGTGTCTGGGAATCCCTGCTTTCCCCTGCTCCAGAGGAGAGCGCTGAGCCTGTTTGTTCACACACCTGGAAGAGGTTAGCAGCTTCCAGGACCCGCTGGACATTCTGCTTGGTGATCAGCGCCTTGCTGGTGTATGTGTAGTCCAAAAGAGTGTGCATGGTCTCAGCATCGACCCCTTTGATAATGATCCTCTTCTCGTACTTTTCCTTTAAATCATTGCAGAACATGGCCCTGGAAGAGAGATGTGTGAATGTGAGTTCTACTGTGACCCTTGGTTCCAGGCCTGAACAGACCCCCTTCAGACCTGTCTGCCCCAACAGAACAGTGAGGTTCCCAAGGTCTGTTCCTGCAGCAGCCAACACACCTCAGACTTAAGATCAATACTTACTGGACTGAAATGTGCTGCTCTGCTGTGCCCAACTGTGGTCCCCAACGCAGTCCCAGATCTGAAGGGACGGTGGGAGCCCTATTGGCACAGCTGGTGGGATCTAGAACTACTTTATTGGCCCAAAGAACTACTTTATTAACTCAAAGTGCTGGGGATTCTTCTGGAGGGACTGTGGGACCCCCCAAAACCTCATCTGTACTTTCTTTCTCAACTGCCAACACTTAAAAACAGGGTTTCTGACTCAGCTCTCACTTCAGCTTTCCTCTGTCCTGGAGCCTGGCCCCACACCCAGGCCTGGCCAGCTGGGGCCCAGACGCCTCCAGTAACACCAGCCTCTCACCCCAGAGGCTGGACCCTTGTCTATGGGTTCCCAGTTGCAGTTGGGAGCCTTGAATCCCCTTATCTCAAGACAGAACTCCCCAAGACCATTACTCTGTCTCGCCTCTGGACTGTGTATTCCCTGATCCCTCCTCAGGAGTAGACTTCAGGACATTTAGCCGTTATCCCGGAAGCAGGGGAATGGGATGGAAAGGATGATGGTTTCAACCTCAGATGAACCAGGATTTGAACGTCAGCTCCACCAACTCAGAACTTGGACATGTTATTTAATCTCCATGAGCTTCAGTTTTTTCATCAGTAATGGGGATTTTAGTAGCTATTTTTAAAGTTTACTGTAAGGATTAGCTCAATAACTAATAAATAAGTAGAGACATAGAGATTTTCTCCACTCCCTGCCAGGCTCCTACGTGAATTTATCATGCTTCTTGGACTTTGGTGTTTGAAGGTTGATCCCTCTCAGAGAAAGTATGAGCAATTTTATTTATTTTTAACAATGCATTTAAGCCTTACTATGTTTCTGAAAAGATTTCTGGAATTCTGAAAACTTAAAATGTGTCTAAAATCTAACAAGATTGCATAAATTATAAGTAGGGGGGAAAGAAGATAAAAAACATGAGTGGGGACATGAAGATAATGAGGCTAGAAGTGCCCATCACAATGGCCATCACTGCACTGTCATTACAGATGGACCTCACAATTGGCCAATGCAAATGAGCAACCATCTGGTCAGTTACATTATTCACAATCCTTGTGATTATATACATACATACATATATATATATATATATATTTTTTTTTTTTTTTTAACAAAAGCAAATGCTCCGAAGAATCACTGTTGTTCTAAGCACTAAAAGCTAGATAGAATTTCTCTTAAGGTTGGACAGCAGCCTCACAACGTTCTTACAGTAAACAGTGAGTTCATGAGGCTGAGTCAGAGTCACTGCACTGTTGTCCACCACCCATCCAGAGAGAGGTAGGGCCAAACTGCACACAAACTGGTCTGGAGACATTAGCATGGTGCCCAGCACCCAGTAGGAGCTTAATAAGTGTTCATGAGAGAGAGAAAGGAAGTGCCCTAAAGACAGAGTCCTCTCCTGGGGCTCCTTTTGCCTGCTTTGGCTCCCAAAGTCCCAGCATTTCTCTGCTCTCCTCTGAGACTTTTTCACTGATTTTTCTGCCACTTAAATACATTCTCCTGGGCCACAGTCATCATGCTGAACACAGATAAGGTGAAACTAGGAGAAATCTACATATTTCTCTTAGACTAAACTCCCAGGCCTCCTGCTGCTGTCCCAGGAGTTCCGTGGAAACACTTCAGCAAAGTTGGGACCCCATGAATGGTACGTAACCTATGCAAGATGGGCCACGCCTAGGTTTCAACTTTAATAACAGTAATCTCTTACATTTATGTTTACAGCACTTTGTAGATCAAATGGTATTGTCTTCTTTGATTATCACACCATTTTGTAGATGATAGACTGAGGTAGAAGTTAAGTGAATTGCCCAAGTCCACACAGTTTGTCAGCAATAGAATGGGGACCAGAATCTAGGACTTTGGGCTCTTAGTCTGGAGCTCAACGGTGCACTAAACCCAAGAAAATCAACAGAAGTTCAAGGCCATCTTTGGGGGATCAACAGGGTTATCAGCATTGAGTGCACCAGACCAGGTTTTGCTCTCTGAGAACATAACTGGGTTAGTTGCTAACCATTTACCCCTTAGCCTATACATGAGATAAATAACCTTTTTGTGTAATAAAAAATACTTTCTAGACAGATACTGACCAATTCTCATGAGAGTCTTGTAAAACAGAGGTAGCTATCAAGATCCTCATTTTACAGTAGACACAGTCTCACAGCAGGGAGCCAATTGTCCAATTGAAGCCAACTGTCCTTCAGCACTGAGTAGGTGCCCACCTCAAAATTGAGCCTGGGCAAGTGAGCTCGTCTCCCACAACAGCCATGAAAACATCCCCAGGCCCAAGAATCTTCTGAAACGAAGTCAGGACATGGCCCAAACACTGCCTGGGCCACACTCCCCTCCAAGCTCTGCTGGCCTCACTCCTCACTTCCTTCAGGTCTCTGCTCACATGTCACCTCCTCAGACTGGTCCCCCTGATGCTGTCCCCAATCTAAATAGTCACTCCCTAACATCTTCACCTCCTTTATTTTTCTTCATAACGCTGTCAAAACCTGAAATTATATTACACATCTATTTGTTAACTAGTTTAACAATTGTCTCCCACTAGAATATGAGCTAAGTGAGGGCACTGATTGTGCTGTGTTCACCACTGTGTCCCTAGGGCTAGAACAGTGCCTGGAACCTAGTAGAGACTCAGTAGATGTTAGGGGAGAAAATGAATGAATGAATAAATGGACGAATGAACTTGTCCTTCCTAGCCCCTGTGTGTTTGCATTTGACAGGAATCTGCACCTCCAAGAATTATCAAACTCCCTCTGGAGGATGAGGCTGAGGAGGCCTGCCTCATGCACCCTCCGCCTCCAGCTCTCTTCCATCATTCCCCCAAGTCCAGGGCCTGGAGCTTGAAGAAGACACACCCACGCCAGAACATTCCACTTACACCTCTGATGAATTCTTCATGTTCCTGCAGTTCCTAAATGTCACCAATGCAGACTTTTTTACCCAGCCCAGCACCACTACGGCTCACCCCCTCCGCGGGCCTCCACACCTGCCCCTGAACTCCCTGCCTCTTGTACCTCTAACACCAATCACAGTCCTATAATCAATACTCACCTCCACTACCCCTACTATCTCATTCCTGGACTGGGTCCATCCATGCTGCCCTCTGCTCTGTTCTTCCTTTAATCCCTCCACCATCTCATTTATGCCAGGAACTAACCCCTATGCATCAGTGAGATATTCTGGGTTGGAATGGCTCTAACTTTGGTTAACTGAATTAAATTCTACTTAAGAATATAAATGTTAGTATGTATACAATTGGTTAAAAAATTTTGTTTTAAATAGTAATCATGTGTTGCTCAATGAACACTATTGTTAAGAAAGGATTATTTGGATATAAACCCAATGTGGATGATCAAAGGGGTTTGCACTGCAAAGAAAGCAGGGAGTCAGCAGAGGCAAGGGTGACCTAGCACAAGCTAATATCACTCTCTATGGTCCCCAGCACCCCTAAGCCAAAAACATCAAAACCTGCTATCATTTCCTAACCAAAGGACGTGCAAAAACATTTGGCTCAATTGCATTTCTGACCTCAAGCTGTTCTCTGAGCCCTGCCATGTAGACCTGTCCCAACACTGGAGTCCTGCTCATATCCCTATCCTGTAGACACTCCAGCCTCAGGGTTGGTGGGTCTCAAAGCATGTCCCCTGGACCACCTGCATCAGAATTCTTGGGGTGCTTGTTAAGAATGCAGAATCTTGAAGCCCAACCCACCCTAGACCTACTGAAGCAAAATCTCTGGCAGTAGAGCTGGGAATACGAATTTTATTAGGCTCCCCTGGCCCCCGCTCGTAATTTTTTTGCAAACCAAAGTTTAAGAACCAATGCCCTAGAGAAAGGTCACCTCACTTTCCAATACAGGCCCCCTTGGCTCACTCTGAGAAGGAGATTGGACAAAATTCCAGGTCAAGGAAACAACTGGCCGTGGTGCAGGCACAGACATGCCCTTGAAATTCCTCCCTCCCTGTAGAGTCTCCTTTTCATCTTCTGAGATCCAGCCCTCCTAGAATTGCATGATGCCTAAGGCTGCCTCCCAAATTGTGGGGGGGGTACCGGGGGGAGGGGTAGGAGGGCTCAGATTGAAGCAGGCCTTGTCCTGGCTTCCAAAGTCTTTCTCTAGCTTAGCTGTGTAGACTGGGCCCCAGCAGCTTATATTCAAGTAATATCGTCCATTAGAGCTAGGGGTTCTGAAACAGGATGTGGTGCCAAAGCCCTATTAATAATAAACAGTGTGCAATTCTCTGTTCTTACCTGCTGTGCACGTGTCAGTCTCACACACCTGGAGGGCTACCTTCAGCAAAGGATTTGGGGGTTTATGGACATCTCTTTTTCCACTTCAGAGACATGACTAACAGCACTCTGCCATCTCTCTTCAGGGTCTGGAGTCAGCTCCGTGAACCCCCAGCTGCTGGCTGAGTCTTCACTCCAAACTGACAGAGGAGCTGGAACCCCAGAGCTCCCCCACCCAACTCTAAACATCATCAGGCCCCAAAAGATTGCCTTCTGCCAAGCTCCTTGCCCAAGTTCACCACTCCTCAAGGACACTGCATATGTACCCTTTGGGGACCAGCACTTCGTCCATGTTCCTATAGAACCAGAGTCCCTCCTAGCCCCACTGGACCACTGCTGATGCCTCAGCATGCCATGTAACTCAGCCCATCCAAAATTTAAGACAGAAAGAGGGGCTTATTAAGACAGAAAGAAGAGCTTATTCTGTCCTGCAAGACTAGGCAGGATAGAGCATCAGTCACAGCAAATGCTTGTGGCCAGGATTCAGCAATGATTCAGCCATGAAGATATAATGGG